CTTAAGTCTTACATATTCTTATTATCATTATTACACGCCAAAGGAAATATATAAATTAATTATTAGACTAAACTTTGATTTAATTTCGAATTAGATTTGTAAATACTGACCCAATTTAATGGACATTAGATCATTTACATTTCCTATGTATACATAAATTTCTTATAAGTTAAAGTTTAAATAAGTTAACATTTTTTAACATTTAATTTTAACACATTAGAATATATTATCTAACGTTATATTTGTTACGATATAAGTAATGATGACATGCAAAAAAATAGTATTCACAAATCGCATTGTCATGCAAAACAATTTGTGGCGTCTCGCACCTGCTCGGTGCTGACACCCCATGGTTGACTATCCGTAGCTCCGATGTCTTGCTCCAGGACGGTGCCGACATCTCGCGGCTGCCAGCGCCAGGTTCGGCAGACGTATCCAAAARCTACTAGAGGTGCGCGCGTCTAGCAGCGATACTTTCTGCCTCGGCTTTGTAACCAAACCATGATGTAGAGGCGGCCGATTGGTCAGAACTCGCGGCGTAATTGCACCTGGGAATCTGATTGGTCGGGCCTAGTGACGAACATCCCGGATCATCTCCTCGCTCCTCGGAGATCATCGATCCAACGGTTTTCTCGATAGGAGTTCAATTTTATTCGCCAAGCTTATCAGTCGACTGCGCTTGCACGCTCTACCGTATCAATTGATCGTTCTGTATCTCGTTGTGCGCGTGTATATAAATTCTGTATATAAATTCTGTACATAAATTCTGTATATTGTTGAATAAAATGTGTTCCGAGAGATCGCAAATAAAAAAGGTGAAATCCCTTGTTGTGCCCGGCTTCCTCATTGGCTGTTACGGTGGTCAGTAACTAGCCATTCGGCCCGCGGACATTGGATATTCCCACAAATTCAATTTCACGTTGAATTTGAACTTTTTAAATTTGGGTTAGTAGTGTGGAAAATCCAATGTCCGCGGGCCAAATGGCTAGTTACTGACCACCGTAACAGCCAATGAGGAAGCCGGACACAACAAGGGATTTCACCTTTTTTATTTGCGATCTCTCGGAACGAATTTTATTCAACAATATACAGAATTTATATACAGAATTTATATACATACGCACAACGAGATACAGAACGATAAATTGATACGGAAGAGCGAGCAAGCGCAGTCGACTGATAAGCTTGGCTTGATGACCTTTTTTTTACTCATCAAGTTCCCAAATCCTATCATGAAAACGATGAAAACAGTCGTCGAACGGGAGATCGTACTGGAGGTGGCGGTGAGATGGTAGTGGGAGTGGTGGTGCACCTTTCGAAAATTTATTTTTTATTTATTTATTAAAAAAAAATAAAGGTCTCTTCGAAATTCCAAATGGATCGTACGCCACGAATTTTCGATCGTACAGGACCTCGATGATCTCCGAGGAGCGAGGAGATGATCCGGGATGTTTGTCACTAGGCCCGACCAATCAGATTCCCAGGTGCAATTACGCCGCGAGTTCTGACCAATCGACCGCCTCTACATCATGGTTTGGTTACAAAGCCGAGACAGAAAGTATCGCTGCTAGACGCGCGCACCTCTAGTAGTTTATGGATACGTCTGCCGAACCTGGCGCTGGCAGCCACGAGATGTCGGCACCGTCCTGGTGCAAGACATCGGAGCTACGGATAGTCAACCATGGGGTGTCAGCACCGAGCAGGTGCGTGTGGGGAACAAGGTTAACGGAAAAGGTTGATCTGGAGATTTACGCGATAGTCGTCAATTAAAGTAACAAAAATATATAAATTTATTAACAAGATACAACTAAACTCTTGGACGCCATAT